GTATATATATAAAATAATGCATATATAAAAATATGTGTATATATATATTTCTATTAATAAGATAATAACCAGTCCAAAAGCAAAAAAAAATGCAAAGAGATTGAGAATAGATATACACCTCAAACTGGAGTATAATGGACTATTAAGCTTAAGTTAATTCTCTCCATGGACACAGTGTTTTGTGTCCATATGGGGCCTCATGTAGCCAGGAGATGTCTCCTATTCCCACCCTCCACCCTTTGCCCAGGGAAACACAAATAAACACACAAGGGCATCCAAAGATGACTATGTCTTACCCTAATGTAGACTGTCCAGTTGGGGAGTGTGTAGTTTTGTGATATTACTGAATGCATGCAAAACTCTGTGTGTGTGTGTGTGTGTGTGTGTGTGTGCGTGACAGAGAGAGAGAGAGAGACAGAGAGAGAGAGAGAGGATGCTACTTTTTTTTTCACTGAATATGGTGACACAATATAAGACTATAGGTTTTTCCCCCTACAGGGGTGCTTTGGGACAAGGATGTGAATGGGCATGGGATCCTCAGAATAGGAACATACGTTATGGATATGGGGTCACCAGTGGTGGAACTCCTTTTCTGGCTGAAGCAGCAGATCCTGGACTGGAGCTTGGGAGAAGAGCTGAGAGCCAAGGATACTGCTTTCAAAGGAGGTGCTGCTCCGGTAAACTACCAGACTCTCACTACCCCAAACACTACCTATTGTGTGAATAAGTGCCAAGTTGAATTATGTCAGCATATAAACTTTTTTTTTTTTATAAAACTTAAGGGTTGGAAAAAAAATAAAAAACAAAACAAAACAAAAAAAAAAACCCTTAAGGGTTGGAAAGGATCTTCCAAACTCCTTACACTAAAGATGAAAATGAAGTATAGAAAGGCTGTGATTTGCCCAAGTTTAAGGAGACAGTAAGGGGAAGAATTAAGATTCACAACCACATTTCTTGACAGCAAAGCTAGAACTCCAACATTTATATTGTTTGGAACATAGTAGGTGCTTAATAAATGTTTATTGATTGATAACATACCTATAAGGTAAGGCACTGTATTAGCTACTGGGGATACAATGAGAAGAAATGAGAAAATCTCTGTCTTCAAGGCAGAGGAAATGGAGGAAGAAATTTTGGAGGAAATGAAACTAATATTTAATTTTGGAGGAAACGAAACATATATATACATACACACACACACATATATATATACTATATACGTATGTACATATATTATATATGGAAATTTGAGAAGGAAACCGGTATTAACAAATGGTGTGTGTGTGTGTGTGTGTGTGTGTGTGTGTGTTTTTCTATGTGTGTTATGTGTAGAGGGAAGGAGAGGTGGGGCACCTGGCTCCAGAGTTGAAAATAGGGATTCTTGAGATATAAGAAGGAAGTCTATTTCAGGAATGTGGGATCGTTGTTGTTTGTCCTACATTCTAGACATCAGGAAGATGATGCCATGACTTGCAAGTGAACTGGATTTAAGTGAGGGAGGGCTGTGCAGGATCACCAGCCTCACTTTCTCCTCCAGAGCCATCTGGGTCCAGTGGCAAGACAGAGATCAGGATCATTGGAAATGCCCCCCTGTATGTGAGATGGCATATACACAAAGATGAAAAACTGAACTTTTAGTTTAGCTTAGCTGCAATGCTGAGTGTGTAAGGAGTAATAAGAAATGAGTATGGAAAGGTAGGTTGAGACAAGTAGCGGTTTTAAAGGCTTGGCTCAGGAATTTGCATTTTATCTTGGAAGCAATGGGGCACCACTGAAGCTTTTTTGGGCAGAGAAGTGAAATAGCCAGAAAGTTATTTGGACAGTTACATGGATAATAGGTTGGAGAGGGGAGAAAAGCAGGGAGACCAATTAGGAGGCTATTACAGAGTCCAGCAAGAGGTGATAATGGTCTGAAAAAGGATGGGGGCTATGTGAATAGATGAAAAGGAGGGTGTGGAGGTACATTGGACAAGGTTTGTCAATGGATTGGATATGGAGGGCAAGGGAGAGCCAAGAGTCAAGGATGACTAAAATTGCAGACCTGGGTGATGGGGTGAATGATGGTGCCCTCAACAGAAATAAGGAGGTTTGGAGGAGGAAGGGATAGCTTGGGGCTGGGGAGTAACAATAGTGAGTTCTGTTTTTATATAGATTACATTTGAGATACAGATTACAGATCTAAGTAGAGATGTCCAAGTAGGCAGTGAGTTAATGACTGGAATTCAGGAGAGAAATTAGGGCTGTGTATATAGATTTGGAAGCCATCTGTATGAAAAATGGACATTTCTATTTTACATTTTCTTGGTTTGGGCTCATTGGAAAATCTGTGAGTCCTGTTCGCCAAAAATGACTACAATTAATGGAAAAATATTAAAATGCAAATGACGAGCAAGTCTAACTTATTTAACATCAAAATTTTCATAGCTATGTGGCACTCTGTACTTAGGCAGCATCAAACTTGGACCTTGGTCAAAACGAGAGGTGTAGATGGCCCAGGGCTTCACAGCCTGATGGAGTTCCTCATTGAAATATTCCTTCCAGGGGTGTATGGGCTCCATTTTCAGGGCCTCCGAAGTCACATTCCCGGTTGTTAGGATGCACTTCGTAACCCACACACCCATTATTGCACAAAAAAAATAAGAACTCACATTTACATAGTGCTTTATAGTGGATAAAGTATTTTGCATACACAATCCCATTGGATCCCCTGGACCACCCAGTGACGTAGGTGCTATTATTTTCATTCCTATTTTACAGGTGATGAAACTAAAGATTGAGAGGTTAAATTTCTTGTTCAGGGTCACAGAGGCAGGGAATGTCGGAGATGGGATTCCACTCAGGTCTTCCTGACTTTAAGTCTGATAGTATGCCATGTTGGAGTCCGTGCCCTTGTCAAAGTCCAGGACCACTCTGCTGGGAGAGGTGTCGTCTTTGCCCTGGTGGGCCCCAGCTTAAAATACCCATCATAAATTCTTATTCATTCATTCATTCATTTATTTTACTGGACCTCTGATTTCACTGATATAGGGAGGTTCTAGCAGGGAAACTCCCTCTACCTAATTTGGACTCTGCAACTTGTAGTCTAAAGAACTACATGGGACCTCAGAAGTTACAAGACTTAATGAGGTCACGTAGTCAGTATGTGTCAAAAACAGAACTTCAAATCAGGTCTGCCTGACTCCAAAGCCAGTCCTCCCCTCTTCCCTAATGTTGCAAACAGATAAATTGGGTTGGGGGAAGCAGAAAAGGGGGAGGGCTGTTAATGCAATGATACACATTACAAAAAGATTCATTGCATGGTTATTTTCAATAGGAAATATTCACTGCATAACTAACCACTTGACAGAAGGTTGTGGGGGAAGGAATTGGGGGACAGAGTTAGGGGATACAAGAATGGGAAAGTAGAGAAACTGAAAGCTAAAGGGTTGGTAGTCACTAACAATGCAAAATCATTTCAAAGTGAAAATAAAAATATCTCCACAATTATGATATTAATAAAGGTGAATGTGTTATTCAATATAAAAATATATTAACTTTTTAGAAAAATTGACACTATAAGAAAGAGATCATATACCCATAAACAAAAGGCAGAATAAATTTTACATGTTACAACAATAATATTATCCTCCAAAGGCCTGGCTATTACCAGTAGTAACAATGATAACTAATATATATTGTACTTTAAAATTTATAAAGTGATTTGCATTTATTATCCCATTTGATCCCCACAACAACCCTGTGAGGTAGGAGCTATTGTTTTCACCCGTTTCAGAAAAGGAAAACTGAGACAGGCAAGGTTAAGTGATTTGCCCAACAAGAAAGCTAATAAATGTTTGAGAAAGGATTTGAATTCAATATGTCTTTAACATCATCTGAAGCTTCAGAAAAAAAATAAATTATTTCTCTGGGTGACTTCAAAAATAAATAATGTATACTATTGTCTCCACAGGAGAAAGGAAATTTAATAGGCATTGAGCAGCGTCCCAGCCACCCACCAAAATAAATAGATTACAACTTAAAAGACCTGACCAGACAATTTGGATCTCAAACTTTCATGTTCAGATTAAGAAATCCAATGCGGAGCTGCCCCACGGAGACAGGTTATAATACTCTCTCTTCCTTTCCCTTTATGGGGAAGTAAATATGCACATCTGGCCATGTAAACACATAGAAAAGTACCAAGCCTACAGTTCAATCCCCAAAGAGTGAGATTTCTCTTCTTTTTTTTTTACCTCTCCCAAAGTGCCTGCACACCTGGACAGGCTGGAAAGAGCCTGCCGAAATTTAAAGGTTTCCAAACAGCACCATACAGCCCCAAAGCTAACTTGAGGGGAATTCCCCCAACCCGATCTTATCTCTGTTTCTTTTATCTTTTCTCAGACTGGTAGCATAAGAGTGGTTGATTAGGGAATGCGTTTTCTGGGAGAAAGTAACAATGAAACAAGACAGGGAAAAGTTTTTTCCATCTACCACTTCTTGGATCTAGCTTTCCCTTCCCCTCTCTGAGGACCCTGGAGTTTGGGAAGGACTGATTTCTTAGAAGGGCTGTCCTTGCAAAGAGTCTAAATTACACCTTCCCAAATGACTAACATTTACATTGTGTTGGACACTCTCCAAAACCCTTGGGTTACAACACCCCTCTGCGGCAGGTAGTGCTGCAAGGATTATTATCCTCAGAATGTGGGACTCAGAGAGGGAGTCATTTATGCACAGTTACAGAACTATTAAGCGTTAGAATCAAGACTCAAACCTGGACTGTTGCATTCCAACAATCTAGTACTCTTTTCACAACACCAAGTTGACAAAACCAGTAACTCACTCTGACCTCCATCCAAATTCTCTTCCATGTCTCTTCCATGAGAATATCATCCCCCTGGGGACAAGTTGGGTGAGGACAGTGAGAAGGAAGTAACTTATGGAAGTAACTTTCTCCCCTGCATTCTGCTCCTACCCCCTACTCTTCTTTACCATTGCCCCCCCCCCCACTCCCACCGGTGGTAAAGAAGGAAATAACATAATCAGCAATCATATGGGGCAGAAATCATCTCTTGGTATCAGTCCTGCTAAATGCTGATCCAAAAGAAGAAATCTCTCTTCTTTAGGGGTGCCACAAAAGTTTCTACACTACCATGTCACACTGTTCTAATGGGTTCCTTACATGCTTGAAAGAGTTTCTTAGGCATCTCATACCCATCGGTGGCCACATCTTCTCTCTCAGAGCTGCCTCCCATAAATGGCTTTGTATCGCAGATATTCTTCCAGGCACTGGAGTGCATTGTCATCTACCTTTGGGTCAAACTTGTTGGCCAACAGATGGTGACTTTGGAGCATAAAATGCAGGTCTCCAGCCCCATACACACAAACGCCCCTCTGGTAGATTCCAGTACAGAGGGGATAGGGGGCCCCCTTGCTGATATCACCATCATAGCCTTGCCACTTCACAAACCGGGCAATGGCATTTAGGTCAGAGATATGGTACTTTTCATGGTAGGGTACAGAGCCAGGCATCCAGGGCATCCTGTGGAGAGTGGCCCAGAGATGTTCATCAGGGCTATAGGTGTCCTTCACCCACTCTATCAACTTTTGAGCATCTGGGTTCTTAAAGAGTTGTTGGATAAAGTCCCGGGAAGCCACAATATAGGCATTCCCTGTGAACATGGGCAAGCCATGGGGCGGAGTTGTCTTTATCTTTTTGGTCTGGAATATGTTACTCTTGACCTCATAATGATATTTCCAGCGCCCTTTTTTGTAATTAGTGGGTATTTCTGATTCCATACTATTCTTCCCATTCAACACTTTGAGAGACCTCACCATCTCAGCATTGGTCTTTATGGGAAAATCAGTACCACAGGTATTCAAAAGGTATTTCCAGGGCACAGAACTCTGGAGCAACTCCTCCATGCAGTTCAGATCAGCTTGTACTCTGGACCAGGAAGCATACACCACTTGGACCAGATTTTTAGCCACAAAGACATTTGGGAAGCATGAACTAATGGCTCTGACTGCTTCCTTGAAGGCTTCTGAAGACTTCATATCCACATGGATGCAGTAGATATTCTGTGGGGCATACAAGGCCCTCAGAAGTCTCTCAAAGTTTTCAATCTTCTCGTGAATCACCATTGAATATGCAATGGGGAAGTCCTCCTCCTCCTTGCTCAGTGGAAACTGAATGAACCTCTGACTGGCCCTGAAGTGGGCACAGTCCTGAGTCATGTTGAGATATTGAGCCTCAGTCAGAGGCTTCCTTTTTAACTTGTTCTCCAATTTGATCAAGGCTGCCTGGGCCACAGCATCGGGATTCCCTCTGGTGATCAGAGAGCAGTTGATGGAGTTCTTGGGTAGCAGTTTCAGGGACTGATAGAGCTTATCCTTGCAGGATTCCTTCCAGACATCCAGGGACTCCACACCCAAGTCACTGAAGTCACATTTCCAGGTGTCAGACAGTTTCAGGACCCCTGTGGCCAACAGCATGAGACATCCAAAAGCCCACATATGCCGTTTTTGGCGGAAGCATTTTTTCATTATAGTCATCATGGAAAAATGAAGTCCATGGGCGGGAAAACTGAGCCTTTGGAAGGTCGAAATGTTCTTCAAAGCACAAATGATGATCAGATTCTCAGTGCATCAAATCTCATTCCAAACCAGTGACAAGGATATTTTTCTTCTTAAGTTTCTTCTTGTTAGCAGATATTCTCACAGCAAGCCTCACACACCCCTTATGTTGTTGATCTAAGGGAGATTTTGGTATAGGCTGGGTGCTCCAACTATCACTAAGCATTTATGCTGCCTTAGAGCAAGAGCCTGGCATCATACCTCCATCTACTTCAGGAGACAGAAGGTGAAGAAATACCAGACCTGTGTGACTTAGAGTAGAAATGTAATTAGCAAGAGGAAGTCCCCACCCCTAATTCTTCACTCTTCTTTCCCTCCTCCCTCTGCCATTGCATAGTTCTGTCTTATCTAGAATCTAGAATTTGTGGTAAATCAGTTGGGCAAAGTCCAGGGAAATTTATCCCTTTGTTCCTATATCCAGTTATAGAAACCAGAATGCTCATTTTAAATATCTTTTAAATGTCCAATTCTTAAAACATTGGAGCAAAATACTTTTTTTTTCTGATAAACACAGTTGCCTCCAGTTTTTTCTTCAATCATTTGGGTAATGTGACTTATAGTGACAAACTCAGGCACTTATATTTAAAAATATAATTATAACCTTTGGATCAGAGACGCCCTCAGCATCAAGAACCCAGGTCCTTTTTTAGGATTGTCACACTTGTCTGGATCTACTCCTTGTACCTTTTCCCTCCCACCCCTCCAAGATTTGGAAAAATGAGTATGCTGGTTTGCTATTTTGTCCTAGCTAAGATTTAACTCCCCTCTTACATACAGACAGGTGTTGAAGTAACAAAATTTTATTAGAATCGTATTTTATTTAGAAGTCACAAAATTTTATTAGAATAGTAACAAGGGAATGTTAAACTAAATATCCTTCTGCTTTCTTTCTGGTCCTTCCCCTAAATACACAAAATCCCCTCTTTACAAGTCAATTTGGTAAAGAATTTAGATTCAAGAGAGCACCCAAATCCCATAGACCCCTCCCACAAGGCCTCTCGGTAGTGGTGACCGCTGTGAACGAGCTAATTACACCCTTTTCTTCTCAGCTACCACCTGCTCCTAGGCTATCTCCGTGGGTTTCTCAAAATCTGAGATCTTAGCCACGCCTTGCAGAATAAACTCACCCTCCCAAGAGCCTAATTTTATCCATACAAACCCCCCTTTTTTCTTTTTGATTCTTACCCAGGCATCCTGGAACCATCCAGCTCCCTAGAGTTAAAAAGTCCTCAGGACTCTGGAGTGATCCCTAGCTCTCTCTCTTCCTACCTGCTCCCCCCACCCTCACCCCAGTCATTGGGAAAGTTTATGTAAATCATCCTGAGTCTTCCAGATTTCTTAGTCACTCACACTCACCACTCACAGCACTTGGGAGGAGCTATATAGAAAAGACCTTCTTCTAAGCCGGTTACATAATTTTCCAAAAAATAGTGGGCAGTCTGATTGTTTGTCAAAATGATGTCTAATTACCTAAAGCACCTGAATGTACTCTCTGTAGGTCAACTGCAATTGACTTTTTTTTTCTTAATTTTTTGGTTCTGAACTTTAAACTCTGAAAAAAGAGAAACATTTTCACAAAGAGCAGGAAAAAAAGGATTGTTTGAAACTGTGAATATTACATACAGTTTTTTTAAGTACATAATAAGTTCAACATGTTATTTTTAAGGCTGTCTTGCTTTGTCTGTTTCTTCTTGAACTTCCTTCTATTCTGTGAATTTTGAAAAATGCTTCAACGACTCTTCTTTTTTTGGGTAATACTATCTCCATCTTCTGTCTCCTCCCCTCAATCTCTTCCTCATAGAAAAAAAGAAAAACATAGTTATTATAGCAAATAAGCATAATTAAGCAAAATAAATCCATACATGGTCATGCTCCAAAATGTATGTCTCCTTCTGCACCTTGAATTAGCAATCTCTCTTCCAGGAAGTGAGCAGCATGCTTCTTCATGGGACCATTAACATTCTTGCCATTTCATTTTATACTTGGTCTGTGCATCTCAATTTGTTACATAATTTCCTTGGTGAGATTGTAATACATCAATGATTTTAACTATGAATTCTGCACACACACACACACATACACACACACCCTTTTAGTTTTTAATTTTTTAGATTGCATATTTTTAAATGACATCTTAACCTCTTTCAAAACACCTTCTTACAAACATCCAAGAGTAAGAAAAATTAAAAGTCAAGGAAAACAAACCAAATAACCTTATTTTCAATGAATTCCCTCTCTTTTGGTGAGAAATCGTCTTATCCAGGATGTGACATTACCCTAGGAATATCACTTTTTACTTTGTTTTCTACTTTGTTTTCGTAGAAGATCAAAGCCCCACAAGTCACAGACTGTTTAAGAAATTCTATCCAAAGCTATGCTTATGGCCTCTGGCAAGGGACTGAGGGAGCAGGTATGAGTATTACAATGTCCTTTGCTCTTCTTGGTAGGGAAGAGGAACTAGGCTCTGGGAGGTAATGGAGACGTGCTCTCTCTGGTGGAAAACGATTGGAGTCCGTGCGGCGAGGAAGAAAAACTGGTGAGCTCAGTAAAGGTGCTTAGGTTTTTAAAAAGGTGTGAGAGCTGGCTCGGACTTCCTGGCTTGAACTCTCTACCCTCTGTTTCGATCAAAAACAAACAGGAAAACAAAGACAAAAACCCTCCGACAGGTTTTAAAAGGCTCTTTAGAAAACAATTGGCTAGAGCTCAAGTCTCCCTTGCTTGACCGCTACTCAGCCACCTTTAGGTTGGAAGCAAAAATTACTACTCTTCCTTCCTACCAGGTCTCTAATCTGTTTGCAATACTTTTTCCTTAATGCAAATCAAGGTGTTCCTCCTCCATTAATAATAATGACAATCATCAATTAGTGCTTTTGGGAGTACCAAAGGGCAGGTCATCTCATTCCATCCATTAATCCAGTTCCTCACAAGAATTTAAGTGCCTCATAGTGCAAGACTGCTAATCCACAAAGTCAAAAAGCCCAAACCAAAACCTACCCTTAAGAAGCCTACATTCTACTGGAGACAAAAATGACGTGTACACAGGTAAGTTCACGATACAAAGTAAACATTCCACAAACACTGTGTCCACAGTATTTAATTTGCATTTCCACAGCTTTCTGTCACAGCAATCCTAGGAGGTGGGCATTTGAAATATAGTCCCCAATTTAACCAAGCAGGAAACTGAGGCACAGAGAAGCTAAAAGCACATGCAGTTCGGAAAGAGTGTTGGACTGGGGATCAGAGGACCTGAGGCCCAACTATGTTACTTGATATCTGTGTGATCTTGGGTAAGTCTTCATTGGTAAAATGAAGAGGGATGGGACATAAAGGCTTACAGCCTCCCCTCTGAGATGTTTTCCAATTGCTCCTGTGTGTATCTTTTGTATTTATGTAGTCTCCCCCATTATACTATGAGATCCTCAATAACAACAGCTAACATTTACACAGCACATACAGGCACTGTGCTAAGTGCTTTTTTGTTGTCTGATTCTTCATTTGGAGTTTTCTCGGCAAAGATACTGGAGGAGTTTGCCATTTTCTTCTCCAGCTCATTTTTACAGATGAGGAAACTGAGGCAAACAGGGTTCAGTGATTTGCCCAGGGTTAGGCAGCTAATAAGCATCTGAGGTGGGATTTGAATTCAGGTCTTCCTGACTTCAGACCCAGCTGCCCAGTAAGTGCTATACAATTATTTTTATCTCATTTGATCCTCACAACAACCTTGGAAGGTAGATGCTATTATATTATCCCCATTTTACAGAGAAGGAAATCCGAGGCCCATAGCAGTTAAGTGACTTGCCTAAGGTCACACACAGCATCTGAGGCAGGATTTGAGCCCAAGTCCTCAGACTCTAGGGCCTGTGCTCTTTCAAGCATACCAAGTTGCCCCTGGTACTTTGTTGCTTCTCAAGTGGCAGTCATTCCTCTAAGTAATTTTCCTTTAGCTTAAAATTATAACCTGTGGAAGGTTCCACCATATTGTTTGTTTTCTTTTTCATTGCCGTTTTTCCAGCTCAGCCCCTGGAAGTGTCTGAACATGTTAGATTCTAGGCTAGCCTGACTCCGGCAGGAGATGATAGAGTGCAGGGGTAAAGGAATGAAAAAAATGCAAGGCTGATAGAGGAAAAATCCAGTAAACTTTCCCTGTTCTGCAGATCCCCTCCCCTACTGTGCCCAACTTGGAACTCTGGAGACACAGGAGACTGTGATGAGATAGACCAATTTTCATCTTTTGTTATACTACTATCCTTGTTTAGTTGGCCAGTAAGACTTTTTCATATTTTCTTTCTTCCTAATTTTCCTTTCTTCCTTTAATTTTCTCTATGATGAGAGTTCCCAACCTTTTGGGGTCCTTGTGACCCATCACACTCAGTAAACCCATATCTTCTATTCAATATAAATGAAAATAAATTCCAGAGTTTGCCATGGAAAGGCATATAAGAAATAAAGAAAATAAATTATACTAATCCATTCAAAAATATTTTTTTCAATTAAAAACTTTTTTTTTCCTCCTGGGTTTTTCTCCAACCACCACTGAAAAAGAAAACAGAAAACAGAAACCTTTGTCTTGAAATGAAGAAAATTCCACCCCCCCTCTAAATCTGACTTATTCCTCAAGGCACAGGTTAAGTCCTCCCTCCTTCAAGAAGCTTTCTGGCCAGGCCCAAAGTGGTGAACATTTGGGAAAGTAAGGAAAGGACAGTCTTTCTACCAGAGACTTCTTTTGAGAAAAACTGTCATTCACTAATCAATGCCTTGTGCAGGTACCTCTTTAGTGCTCCCTATGTTGTGTGGATTTCTAACTTTGGGATCCAATCTCCATTTCATGACTCTTGAATTGCCTTCTGGATTTGTTGACGCATTGGGTTTACTAGCTAAGCGGTGCAGTGGAGAGAATGTCTTGGTCTGGAGTCAGGAAAACTTGAGTTCAAATCCTGCCTCAGACACTTACTAGATGTGTGACCCTGGGCTAGTCACTTGACCCTGTTTGCCTCAGTTTCCTCATTCTGTCAAATGAGCTAGAGAAGGAAATGGCAAACAAAATTTCAGTATCTTTGCCAAGAAAACCTCAAACGTTAAGGTCGTAAAGAATCAGACGTGATTGAACAA